GCTACATTCTTCTTCCCGCCTGCCTCAAAGGGACCTGGAAAACTCCATTCATCTTTTCTGCTTGAAACTGACCGGATCTGGGAAACTGGATGCTTCCCTGCCCAGGGCATCTTGGCCCTCTTGCTTCCTCGCTTCTTCGCACAAGTCCCGTCGTCGGATCTCGCCGAAGGCTGGATGGAGCTGCGGTTTGGATGCTAAGAGACTGAGAAACGGGGGTGGGTGGGGGGGAAACTACTCCTAAACCCATCCTGGGGCCCCCCAAGGAGGCGAGAAGGACCCTGCCAGCCTCCCATGCCTGGCCCACAGAAGGCAGCATCAACAGCAGCATCGCCACCATGGCAAGGCCTGGTCCGGGGGCGCTGCTCTTTGCCAACGGGTTGGGCTTCCCCCCCAGCAACGTGGCCCGGGTGGTGGTGTGGGAATGGCTGAACGAGCACAGCCGGTGGAGGCCCTACACAGCGGCCGTCTGCCACCACGTCGAGAACATCCTGAAAGAAGACGCTCGGGGCAGCGTGGTCCTCGGACAGGTGGATGCCCAGCTGTCTCCGTACATTATAGATTTACAGTCCATGCACCAGTTCCGTCAGGATACAGGTAAGCCTCACGGGTGTCAGCCCTCACGGTAAATGCTGGGCGGAGGGAACCATTAAAAACCCTCCCTTTAATCATAATTGAAAGCGTGTATATTGGGGAGGGGGTTTAATGGAGGGAGGGAGGGAAAGAGAGAGAGAGAGAGACCCTCATCACATGCTGAAAAAAAAAACAGGACAGGTTGAGGAAAACAACAACCCTGACTTGCTAGATTTCTACTTGGAAGGCATCCCTGGCAGGCTAGTTTTTCTCCCTGCAGGGAAATGGAAGAAGAATAGCAATTTCTTCCCATTTTTGGTTCCTTTCTGGGACAGCAGATGTCCTCCCTCTTGGCTGCTCTTCACGTTGGCTAACATTTTGGGGAGTGGGAGACCCAGACAAGGCAAGCGAAATCCAGAGAGAGGTGGTGGTGTGGTTTTTTTTTTAAAACAACAACAACAACAACCCTCGACTGTTGCTTTGCAGTTTGCAGGGGTGAGGTTGAGAAATGCTTTTACTCTGCAATTCTGAAGGAATTGGGGGCAAGGATTGGAAGAACCTTGGAAAACGTTGTTTAGTTGGGTCAGGAAGGAGCCGAGGTGTGTGTGTGTTTGTGCAAATCTCCCTCTTTTAAGATTGTTGTCCTTCCAGAAGAGCGATGCTGGCCCTTGCTTAGAAAGGTAGCATGATCGCCAAAAAGGTTACTACTAGCAATAGTAGCAAAGACGTTAAGGTTGGAAAATACGAGGCTTACAACACCCAGTAGATATTTGGGTGTTTGAGGTCTGATTTGGGTACTCGGCAGCGAGGCAAAAATTGCAGGGTGCTAAAAATTGCAGGGTGCTCCGGTATTTTGCAGTATAAGGAATAAACAACCACCAGCAGCACAACTATCCGGGTAGAGTTATACGGCAGGGTCTGGGAAGGCCCCAATCCTACCCCTCGTCTTTGCACTACCCCCCCCCCCTCCAAAAAGAAGGAGGGAACATGGCAGGATGGTAGCCAGCTCCGCTGTCCTATGCCCATGGAAGGCAACGGGCGGCTTATTGACGTCCATAGGATCTCCCTCTGCAGTTGGGGGGGGGTAGGATTGTGCCAAGCTTTCGAGTCGGAATTGTGCGTGTTGGGTGCTCTCTTTTCTTTTTCTCTCCTTCCTCCTGTGTGGAGCTACGATGCCAAAGATGTGGTCATCCAAGGGTGTTTTTTTTTAAAAGAAGAAGAAAAGAAAAACAGGTTGTTTTTCAAAAACAAAACAAGGCCAGTCATCTTCCTCAGATTTGTGGGGTGGCCTGACGGATTTGTGCGTAGAGGGAGGGGGGGAGGAAGTCTTGGGGCACCCCAAGAACATCAATCTGATATCCTCTTCTGCTTTGCTGCCAGAGACAGTGGGGTGCAGTTCTGAAGCGGGGGAAATAATTCATTTAAAGAGAATAAGCTTCTAGATCTCATGAGGGCAGGGAGAGTGAACGGCTGCTGGTGATGTACACTAGAAGACATTGTGGAGGAAAGCAACAGGAATCGAGGTTTCACAGCGTCTCTTTGGCCCTGCTTCTCAATTTGGGGGGGAAAAAATACAGAACTATACAAAAAAAAATATTATAGAGCTAGTTCTGATGGTGAGAACAATTAATTGGTGGGTTGACTTGCCTCCAGAAGTTGTAAATGCTCCAACACTGGGGGTTTTTAGGAAGATGTTGGACAACCATTTGTCTGAAGTGATGTAGGGTTTCCTGCCTTAGCAGGGGGTTGGACTAGAAGACCTCCAAGGTCCCTTCCAACTCTGCTATTCTATTCTATTCTATTCTATTCTATTCTATTCTATTCTATTCCATTCCATTCCATTCCATTATTCCCTTTCTTTCTTCTCTTCTCTATTATCTTCTCTCCTATATTCTCTTCTGTATTCTCTTCTGTTCTAGCCTCTTCTCTTCTCGTCCTTCCTTCCCTTTTCTCTATTCTCTTCTCCTCTTCTCTTCCCTTCCCTTCCCTTTTTTCTTTCTCTCTTTTCTTCTCCTCTTTTTTTTCTTTCTTTCTTTCTTTCTTTCTTTCTTTCTTTCTTTCTTTCTTTCTTTCTTTCTTTCTTTCTTTCTTTCTTCTATTGAAGATTTAGGGACAGAAATGGAACGGTAAAGACTGGAGTGCCTCTGAGAACATGCAGAGCACTTTCTCCTTACAGTCTGCAGAGGTAGGGGATGAAGGTAAAATGTTTTAGACAGGGTCGAGGCACCTTGGAGGTCTTCTAGTCCAACCATCTCAAGCAGGAGACCCTATGACATTTCAGATAGGTGGCTGTCCAATCTCTTCTTAAAGACCTCCATTGATGAAGCGCCCACCGTTTCTGGAGGCAGGTTGTTCCACTGGTTAATTGTCCTCACCGTTAAGGAAGTTTCTCCTTAATTGCAGGTTGCTTCTCTCTTCGATTAGTTTCCATCCGTTGCTTCTCCTCCTGCCTTCAGGTGCTTTGGAGAATAGCTTGACCCCCTCTTCTTTGGGGCAGCCGCTCAAATATTGAAATACTGCTATCATGTCCCCCACAAGTCCTTCTTTTCTCCAGACTAACCATCCTGGTTCCGTTTTTATTATTATTTTCCTCTCCGCTAAATTCCATGCAATTGATCTTGTTTACTTTCCTCTTTGGGGTTGCCAGAAATCCAGAGGGACCGTTGAAACAGATGTGTGCTTGTGTATGTGTGTGTGTGTGTGTTTGTGCGTGCATTTTCAACAGAAGCGAGTTGATTCTTTTTAACAGAACTGAAAAATGGCCTGATCAGCTGAGCATCTCTTGGCCTGTCAGCCTTTTAAACCTTCACACCCGATAGATTTTGGAACATCCTTATTTAGATCACTCGACTACATAGTCAAGGCTGCGGTTTTCCCAGTTGCAATGCATGGCTGTGAAAGTTGGGACCATAAGGAAGGCTGAGCACCCAAAGAATGGAAGCCTTTGGACTCTGGGGCTCGAGGAGAAGATTCCAGAGAGTCCCTTGGATTGCAAGGCGATCCAACTGGTCGGTCCTAGAGGAGACCAACCCTTGACTGCTCTTTAGAAGGCCAGATCCTGAGGATGAAACTCAAGAAGAAGAAGAAGGGGATGACAGAAAAGGAAGGGGCTGGATGGAGTCACTGAAGCAGTCAGCGTGAGCTTAAATGGATAGGATAGGATAGAGGGTAGAATAGAATAGAATAGAATAGAATAGAATAGAATAGAATAGAATTCTTTATTAGCCAAGTGTGATTGGACACACAAGGAATTTGTCTTTGGTGCGTAAGCTCTCAGTGTACATAAGAAAAAATAAAATACATTCATCAAGAATCGTAAGATACAACACTTAGTGATAGTCATAGGTTACTATAAGCAATCACTGGGTGGGATTCAATTTTTTTTTACTATCGGTTCTGTGGGCGTGGCTTGGTGGGCGTGGCAGGGGAAGGATGTTGTAAAATCTCCAGTCAGAGGCGGTATTGGCCGGTTCTCCGAACTACTCAAAATTTCCGCTACCGGCTCTCCAGAACTGGTCAGAACCGGCTGAAGACCACCTCTGAATCAAAATCATACATAGGTTACTACTACGCAATCAAAAGGAAAACAAATAAAACAATATAAATTGTAAAGATACAAGCAACACGGTTATAGTCGTAAGTGGGAAGAGATAGGTAATGGGAAGGACAAGAAGAAGAATAGTAATACAGTCTTACTAAGTAATTTGACAGCGTTGAGGGAATTATTTGTTTAGCAGAGTGATGGCGTTCGAGGAAAAACTCCCCTTGTGTCTAGTTGTTCTGGTGTGCAGGGCTCATAAGCGTCGTTTTGAGGGAAGGAGTTGAAACAATTTATGTCCGGGATGTGAGGGGTCTGGAGATATTTTCACAGGCCTCTTTTTGACTCGTGCAGGATATACAGGCCCTCCATGGAAGGAAAGTTGGTAGCCATTGTTTTTCCTGCAGATCAAATTATCCTCTGAAGCCTGTGTCCTGCCTTGCTGGGTTGTCCACCTTGCCCCAAGCTTGCCAATCTTTCTGGATTTTCAACCAGGGTTGATAACGCTATAGATGCAAACCCGATGGGTCAACGCCAGCCTTCCAGTTGGGCAGGAGGAGTTTCTCCCCCACCCCGTTCTTCCCAGCCTGACTGGAAGAAAACTGGAGTTTGTGTTTATTCCGAGGACGGGTGCTCTGTGGGTCGCACTAATTCTCCCTTGGTGTCGAAGGTCCCTGTGGAAAACAACAAAAACATATTTTTTTGGTCTAGTTCCCACTGAGTCTCACCGGTGGCTCCCCAGGGGTCTCTAAATTGCCCACGCTGATCATCAACAGCCCATCGTGCAGAGGTCCCCTGGTCCCCCTCCCATAAGTGTGTGTGTGTGTGTGTGCTTGGCTGTTTGTGTGTGCCTGTGTGTGTGTGTGTGTGTGTGTGTGCAGCAGTCTCCCTCTGCAGAAGGCGCAATGTTTCCAAAACAGCCAGGATGCAGCTGAGCATCTCGCACCAAAGCTTTGGAGAGGGGTGGGTTTGATCGGAAAGATTTCATCAGCCGCCCTGCTTTGCAAAACAAAACCAAAAAAAAAAAAAACCAACCTCATCCGTAACTCCAAAGTTCCTCCAGTTAGTAGATGGGGAGAGAAGAATTGATTTGCAAGAATTATCCGAGAGGGGGTTCACAGGTTGGGTTTAACCAGAGAAGCACCCAAGAATCGATCAATCCTTCCTTCTTTCCTTCCTTCCTTCCTTCCTTCCTTCCTTTCTTTCTTCCTTCCTTCCTTCCTTCCTTCCTTCCTTCCTTCCTTTCTTTCCTTCTCTCTTTCTCCTTCTTTCTTTCCTTCTTCCTTCCTTCCTTCCTTCCTTCAGTTCTTCCTTCTCTTTCTTTCTTTCGTTCTTTCTTTCTTTCTTTCCCCCTTCCTTCCTTCAGTCCTTTCTTTCCTTCAGTCCTTCCTTCCTTCTTTCCTTCTTTCATTCCTTCCTTTCTTCCTTCAGTCCTTCTTTCTTTCCTTCCTTTTTTCCTTCTCTCTCTTTCTTTCTTTCCTCCTTC